AAATTACTTTGCTCCTTTTCTGGCTGGGTTCAGCCAAATCTGCCTTGCTTGGTGAAGTTGGCCCTGGGGGATTTGAAGGTTACTAAGGCTCTACTTCAAGATGACACCCAAATCATGAGTTTTTCTGCTATCACTGCTCCCATGATTTAGGTCCTTGCTAGGCTGGGAAGTAAAGTCACATCTGCACTCAGCTCACTAAAACAAAACAAAACAAAACTTGGCAGTGAATCACTTATGACCAAAGAGGTACAGATAAGACACTGGAGATCAGAAAAACCCACTACTCATCTGACAAGAAAGGATAAACTTCCACAGTAAGAAATCCCTATGGAGAGCATTCTCCATAAGAAACAGTAGGAAAGAGAATAAGGTAAGACCTGAAAAGAAACACCAGTTTCTAGCAGAAGTGGGAAACTGCAAAAGAAAACCAAGTGATCCCAAAAAATTCTTCAGTGTCTGAGAGGATCCCATTATTACCTGCAGCGTCTGTGAACATTCTGTTATTAGTTATTTATAAAAGTCAAACACTGAGTTGCCAACAATGCCATCACAAGGGAGTCACCACACCAAGGTGGGCAGGGACGTTCAAAGGGGGAGGAGCAGCCCTTGAAGGGTGGCTCCATGGTCTGGGCAGTGCCAAGAGCTTCCACAGATGAGAACCCAGCCCCCTGAGGCTTGGTAGGGTGACGCTGACAGGGCACCAGGACACGGCAGCCCCTGCTTAGCTCAGCCCCATCCTCCAGTGGGGCTTGTGGAGAGCCACCAGCATCTCCCTGAGCTGCAGCTGCAGCCCCCACTCCCACTTTTATGGCCCCTGTCACACGTGGGCAGTCACACGAAGTTTTTCACATGAGCACTGAGAGCCAGAACGTTTTGTTGGATCTCCCTGAGTTACTGCCAGTCTTTCTGGGCAGGGTCCAGCTCTGGTGCAGCAACACACAGACAGAGCACAGGGATCTACACAGGAGTTCCTTCATGCTCCAAATTCACTTTACTCAGTGCATTTGCTAATTAGTGGTACCCAGCAAAGAATGCCAGGTTTAGTATAACAGCTGGCCTGACACAGAGCTACCTCAAAATCCATTCTTCCTATGAATCACTCAAAGGCTAAAAATAAGAAAAAGGTAACACAGACCTTTTTTTTTCCTAATTTTTAAATATTAAAAAAGATCAAGAGTAAGTATTAATTTGGGGAGAAAAAGGGCTTTTTTAACAGCTATTCAGGAATTAACTACTCAGACTAACATGTGTTAGAAACATGTCTGCAGCAACACAGGACAGAAAGGAAACCTTCCTTTCTGAGTCTCTGCGCACCAAACCTCCTGTGCATCTTGGGCAGTCCTGAAACCTATTTACAAAAAAAAAAAATGTATCTGCAGGAACCAAAAGAGAAAGTACACAAAACAAACAGTTTGAGAAAGCAACTCTCAGGATAAAAGGAGTCAAGGTTCAGAAGAAATTAATAAGATGCGGTAATTTTAAGTTTAACACAAACAACGCTTATTAAAAAAAAAATGAAGTGCAAGAGCCTTCCAAGAGCTTACAGAAACTGTTTTCAATGAAAACTCTGACAGATATTTACATGCAGCATAGAAGTGCTTTGGTGGTGAGTGATACCTACTCGCCATAGGATGACATGAGACAGAGGAGAGCTGGCATGGCAGACGTGGATGGTGCTCCCCTTGACATGTGGGATGTGTTCTGATGTCAGCTAAATTTATGCCATATGCTACAAGGCACAGTGTAGTGTCTGCCTTTTTTGGAACACAAACAACTTGCTGACACTAAATGGAAAGTTCACTGCAGGATTTACATCATCCTTGACCTAATTGTGACAGCCTAGGACAGAACTACTCAGGCTGCTCCTCAGGACTCCAGATTTTTTGGGTGATGCGTGTATTTGTTGTCCAAACATATTACTCCATATTAGGAAAATTATCACTGTAACCATTTCAGGTGCTGGCACAAGTAACACCCCATTCTGCATTCTGGTAGAAAAAAAGCAGGTCTGCACAAATTAAAAACAAAGCCCAAGAAGAGGCAGGGCCCCAAAGCAGGAGGAGTAACTGGGTAAATGTTGCCCACATATGTGTCTGACATGCAGATGTTTTTAAATGTCTCCACCCACAGCCAGATGGGCACAGCAGGAACACATTATATGAAAAAATGTTTTGGGAGTTATGCAGAGAGTAGAAAAAAACATCAGAAGTGTGAAAATCCTGGCAGTGAAGTTTTGACCTGTCCCCATTTAACACAACAGGCCCAGATATTTGGGTTGATAACAGAAGCAGGACAGTAATAAACTAAGACATGATCAAATGGTTTGACTGAGTTAAGCCTCAAGCCACCCCAAAATATCTTAGTAATTTTCCCAATAAACCTTTCCCTGCTCCACCACCTTTATATTTCACCTCCTGTAAAGCCTCACACCTCCTATTCAGAGTGCAGCTTTGTCACCTCACAGTTTTCTCTGATAGAGCTTATTTAGCCTGATTTGCTTGATGAGGGAAGTGCAAAGGATCAGAACTGAAGCTGGAGAACAAGAATTGACCATCTTTGTAAATTCAAATGCTGCCAAGGTGAGAGCTTGAGCAAGAGGCAGAATTAGTGATGCACCCACCTTAGCAGGAGCCAGAACACAGACAAAAGTGAAAAAGGAGGGGAAGTTGAGTCAACTTCGAGACAATAAATGATCAAAACCAGCACCAGTCTCCTTAACAGAAAGTCTTTGGTGCTCCCAGGCACAGAAGTGAAGATCCCCACACCGGCAGTGTGATGTGCTCATTTAGATGAGTTAGCTGTAAAAACACTTGCCAAGCAATTTGCTGGTTGTGCCAATTACATGTCAGAACCCACCAGACAGATCTTACAGCAACAACTGGGGAGAATCACGACTGTGCTGTCTCTCTTAAGAGCAGTTAACTAAATAACCATGTTTTTCTGGGAAAGATTAGGCGTCAATTTGTTTTCTTTTCCTGCTCAAACAGGAGTAGCACAAAGCTCTGTGTTGTTTTCTGAGGAAGACCTCACCTCCCACAGCCCCTTTCCCAAGTAAGAAACATTTCACTCTTCCGCCAAAACAGGAAAAGGTTATTTAAATGAATCTTCATTTAATTTAACTGAATCTACTTCATTTCTTTCTCAATAAAATTATCCAACACTAAATTATCAAATATATACTTTAAAAAGCAAAAAATTCCAATTTGTGCAAAAATACCTCAGGAATAGCCAATGACTTTCAGAAAATAAAGTTAAAAAAATTAATTGTTTATGAGTATCAGCAATGAATTTTAAAAATGAGTAAGTTACAGCACAGGACACATTCTAAATATGTTTGTTCCAAGCTTTTTTCCTAAAGATGTCACCTCACACTGAAAAATATTTTTGTGAAATTGGAAGAAATAATGAAGAAAATAAACATGGGAGACAGAGAAAAGAAATTTATTTTTCTCAACAGTGTAAGAGTTCCAGTTCCTGCTTCTGCAATGATTAATTTCTTCTCCAGCACTTCATTTATTCTAAAAATTGATTATTTACATTTCCAAGCATTTTACATCATACATACACACAAATACTACAAAATGCTAAGAAGGAACATTGAAAGCAGCCCTTTTAAATATACCTCCCAACTATTCTTCACAAAATTGGATTCACTCTGGGCAAAGAGAATTTTATGCCACGTATGAGGGATGGAAGGTGTTGGAAGTCGCTGTGGGAGACACTGGTACCCCACAAGCCATTGAAAAGCCAAAGCTGCCTTAGATCCAGCCTGACACTCAGGCTGCAATGGGCACAGGCAGCAAAGGCTGCTGTAAATTCACCTCCCAGAAAAGGCTGGGCAACCCTCCTGGGTAAAAGCCTTTTTATTGGGGTAGGAAGCATCACTAGGAACATGGCACAAGAAATACATTATTTGGCCTCCAGTAAATACACTATTACACCTCCAGAGTTTCTGGAGGAATATCCTATTTCCAATAGAGGGTAACAAACACTGCTGGACCCAGAGTGAAGCAGCATTGACAAATGGAGTCTCCCTGTGAGGAATCCTTGTGTTCCAGAGGCAGCAGATGCACCCTGTGTTGACACAACTGGCATTGGAACTGCAGCGTACACAGAAGTCACATAAAACCCACAGCAAGGCCCAGATCATATATTAGTGCTGCTATAATCCATGCACCAGTCTTCTGCCAAATGTGTCAAATTTTCCTCTATAATAGAGCTATTTTTCTTACTGGGCCATATCCTGCATTTTTGAGTCACACACATTTTAGACATTTAACAGAGCAACAACCACTTGCAGAGAAAGAAAACTAATTGCAATAACATGTCCATTCCCTATAAGCTGCTCTGTTCATAAAACAGGTTTGCAATATTGCTTTGTAAGTGAGACATGGGCAAGGCTAACAAGCCTCAAATATTGTAACTCTCTGCTTTTACACTAACTGTATAAAGTCAATAGCATAACTAATAAATAATAAATACATCTAGAAGTTTATATTGCCATTTAAAGACTCAAACAAGCAGTTCATGCAACTACAACATACAGTCCCTCATCCATACAACAAGACAGACCTACATTCTCACACCTGCCATTATGGGCTGCATCCCATAAAATGTCCCATTTTCTCCTTAACAGAGATTATATGAGACCCAGAAAATGAATAAAATTAAATGGAAGGCTCTGTAATTTTATCATGTCCTCACAGATACACTAAATTTTGCAAAGGTATAGCTACAATAACTAGGTTCATTAATTTTTACATGCATAAATAGAAGAGTGAATTAATTTTATGGACCTTTTATCTATATAGATAAATATCCATGGCTAAGGCAGTCAGGAAGTTCTGCATCTTCCTGAAAAGGTAAGTTATCTACAATCCATTCAGCAGCACTTGCAGATACATCTATACTGATAAACAGAATGAAAAACAATCCCAAAGCACCAACTGAAGGGCAAAGTGTCAACAAAGGTCCCATTTACATTGACACCATGAACATACCTGGCAAATTCCACTGATGCACATGTCCAAGGACTCAGTGTTGCAACGGGTGCCATCCAGCACCTTTGGGGCAAGCTCCACAACCAGGTTCTTCCCCAGAGCCTGACACTTCAGGGCACAAGGTGCAGTAGGGTCATTGTACACAGGGATCCACTCGTACAGGTGTCCCTGGTATTTGACGTCGTTGTAGGCAGAACACTGCTGTGCTCTAAAGTCACCAACATCTGAAGGGCAGTCCTGAAAACAAACCAAAAAAATTATTTTTTTTAAACTACGGACTAGTTTGTATTTGCAGTAAAGTTATTTGATGAATAACACAGAAACTCTTCAGGCAGGCTTGGTTCAAGGACTAATCTGTTTTGACAAATACACCACACTACAAAGTTTCACTGTGCGTATTAAAATAATTTATGTTGCTTAATCCATTGCTTGGAGTACAAGTACAGAATATCATGCATATTCCAGCAATAACAACATAACTGATATGAGAGGATAATTAAAGATGCTAATTTTTACAACACCAATTAGTACAGTTAAAGTCTGGTTCTATAGTAAGAATTGACTTCAAAAGGAATCTATATATTTTAAGTAATTACAAGGTGATGTCTGATATTTCTCTTTTCAGTAGCTTTTCCCACTAAAAGCATTTCTGAGGCTTCTATGCTTATTCATCAGTTCATATGTCAGAGTAATGAAAGAGGTATCATGGCTATATATAAATAAAAAAATAAAACTTGTCTAATTAATTGTTGGGTACTGCTTGAAAAAAGCACAAGATATAGGAGGAAACACCAGAACTTTCAGTGCTTACTCCTTTATCAAATTACAAAGCACCTTTACCTCATGGAAGTAGTAAGGCTTATTTTGTTAGAATAAAATAAACTTCAGATTGGTAACAATAGATCCTGTATTTCCAGCTCTAATGAGACAGTTCCCTACCTTCTCCCACACAGTGCCTCAGCATACACAGCAGAAAGACCAAACACAAGAAATGCTTGAAATAAAATGTTCTAAAATATTTTTTTTACATAAAGCATTGCACCCAAACAATGATGTTAGCATTAAACTATAGTGACAGGAATGGAGATGAATACTGATTGATTTGAAAATAACTTTGGTAAAGTACTGGCAAAGGAGTTACCGTGTCAAACAATTCCTCACTGCAGACTTCATCTGAAAGTATGTCCAGTGTCAAAGAGTCCATATGCCAGACTGAAAGGATATTCTTCCAAGAATTCCAACTGCACATATAAGCCAGATGTGGGGCTGATTTTAGTGAAGTTTTGTTTTCATTGGATGGAAGACTGAAAGATTGTGATGTGTCAGGCGAACTCATGGAACTTATTAGTAAGAATTAGTTAACAATACTGATCCCAAGCACAGCTTCAACCTTATCAGTGAGCTGAACCTTCCCTGAATGAAGCTGACAAAATAGCAAGTGCATGATACAGGACTGGAGAGTAAAATATACAGGAGGGAGTTTTGAATTTCTGCCCAATGCCCACAGCAATATTGCCCTCAGTCTGGGTTTTTTTCACCATGGCAAACAGTAACCAAGAACTGTCTCTGAATTGGTTGTAATCTACATAAAATACCTTCTAAAAATCAGTATTCAATTTACTGACCAACACATGGAGTTTTTGCAGCTTAGCCCTAAGCAAGTTACTGAACTTTCCCAGCAAAACTTTTCAGCTCTGTCTAATGCTACACCTTACAGTGACAGTAATTTGGAATGATACTAAAACATTTTGAATTATTTTTAATCTGGGATAATGCTAGCTTGAGCCATTTATTTAGAAACTATACAATGATGGAATAAGACACAGGGAATATTTTACCTCTACAAAATCCCTCCAGTGAGAGCTTCTATGAACATCAAGTAAATACTGTGAGAGGCCACACGTATTTGCTGCAGTGTCACTCCCCAGAAATTCCCCAAGTTTGCACTGGTGTAAATGAGAGCAGAATTTTGGCTCTGACTTATCTGTCACCTCTCATTTTCCACAATAGCAAGTCTAAAAAGCAGAGAGGACTTCAGAGTTCATATGGATCCCATATGGTTCCCTCCCACCAATGCAAACAGAGGAGCGAGTAAGGATCAAAAAATAAAAATTGGACGTTAGATTCAGGTAAAGTTAGAAGCAGTGTTTGGGAGCAGAGTCACTCAGCCATGCTCAGCTACATTTTCATCACAAAGAATTGAAGAGTGATCTGTGCAGCAGCAGAGTGATGGCCTTCAGCTGAGCTCTGACAGGCTGCTCTTACAGCCCATTATCACCGGCTGTTGGTGCCATGCCAAGACACAAACACCACAAAGTCAGCATGTCAAGCCCATGGTTACTGCATGTTTCTCATTGATTCCACACAATGCAGCTCCTTCCTTCCACTCCCTCCTGGCTGCTTCAGAGCAAGGGAATCCTCATCTCCCTATTCTCTTTTGGCATCTTCAAAGAGCCCAAAGTGATTCTGGCAGCTCCATTCCCATGCCAGCTCCACCTGCTTTATGTTTGAGCCCTGTGCAAAAGCAGGAGCATAAAAGGAGCATCACAGAAGGGTACCAAAGAGCTGAAATTATTATCATTTGCATTATATCAAAGTTTGGATGGCAACCAAGTCCAGATCCCAGTCTTCCAGGGAACAATAAATATTTTTGTAAAGAAAGGAGTTTAAAGAGAAACACAACTAAGCACTGAATGAATGCAATCAAGATAGCAAGAGGACTTGTAAACATCAGTTTAATTCCATTAGAGTGGTTTAGAAAAGTGAAAGGGGGTTTAAAAAATAGTAAGGAAAAGGCAGGGCAAAGATGTGAATGGTAGGCAAGGGTAAACCGTGTTCAGGAAGTGGGCAGGGTCATAATATCAGACAATGATATGGGGGACCCAGCCCTCATCCTGTTTGTGTGTCTCTGGTTTGAATCTATTTCAGACATCACTTCATTCCACCATTCTCTCTTCCCTCTCAATATTTCACTATTTTTCTTACTTGTTAAATTTTTTTGCTACTAATTTCAGGATTTCTGCAAGAATTTCTTAATTTCAGCAATAGCTTTTCTATCACACTCAATCCCCTGAACCATGGCCAGGCCATTTGTAGGTTCATACACTGCATAAGGAGCTGAAGACATATCTGTGAGCTCTAAAACAAGAAAATGTTGGCAGAAACAAGCACACCCAGACCTTGTAGTGGAATGAAATGTATTTATGACATGACTTATGAACATAGTAGACAGATCTGAAAAAGATGCTTTAGACATGACTACCATGAAGATTAAAAACACACACACAATGTGTATATATATTCCCTTTTTCTTTTTTTTGGTGACACACAACTAAAAACTACTGCATCCAAGAGCTAGCTTCTTATGAAATGTATCTTTGAGCTTTGGCACTGAGCACCCTCAGCCTTTGAAAACAAAGCTGACCTGGGAAATCTCTATCTTTGTAGGCAATGTTCATGTACAAAATATGAAGGTTGCATCAGACCCTGTGACTCTTGCCAACAATTACTCTACTGAAAAAAGCACAAAAGAGAAGGCAAGAAAATTCCCAGTAAAAATGATGACACCAAAGAAAGTCTAGCCCTTTGTCTAGTTTTATTCTTTGAATCTCATTTTGTTGAAACCCAGCCAAAACTGATGAAGTCATTGTTTTGTTTTCTTTCTGAAATTAGCTTCAGGTTCCATGTTTTTCCTACAAAATTTTCAGGCCACTTCTAAGCTGAATCAAGATACCTGAGCTGGAAACCACCCCAACCAAGGGAGCCTTATGGTGCATCAGCATTTTAAATATAAACTAAATAAATGAACAGATTAGAGAGAAACTATGTAACTCAGGGTGAAACATTATAGTCTAAAGTAGACACAGTACAGCCAAGATTTTCTGAACAGGGTAAATTAGGTGGATGCTGGGACAGTTACAGATAAATGTGTTGAACAAGTGTAAGCATTATCTGCATATAATAAAAGTTTACAGTGGAATTAAACATGGGACTACCTTTTACAAAATAGTGTTTTTTCTGACTGCAGAAGAATCACCCTCGCAAAAATATAAGAGACTTTTTGGCACACCAGAACGTGAAATTTATGGGGAAATGGCCCAAATAACTTGTTCTGTGAATAGGACCCTAAAGGATTAACTTAAACACTTCCACATAGTGCACATCATAGCATTAGAATGTAACACTATATACAAAAACTGAAACTTAAAAAAGGGGTGCAAGAAAGACTGAAAATCTCATTGAACAACATACAATGGATAGTTTATTTCTCTAAAGTCTCTACATGGAAGGCTGAAAGCACACATGCAGTTTTAGGAAATCATGCACCTGGCATCTCAGTTATGATAGAAAGATAAGCAGGCTATACATACAGCTTAATCTTAGCAATTATTTTGTTGTTAAGACCTTGAATTAATTTTTTGATTGAAATATCACTAATATTATTCTGGAACTATGCTTGAGTTCAATGAACTTACTACTATTCCATTACAAATCCACATGAAACCAATTTTCTGGTAAAATGATTCTTGTTCTTTTCATTAGAATGACACACATATTAAGTTGTGCTTCATTTGTACTCCCCAATATAGATGTTAGTGGTGTAATGTATCATGTAGCAAAATTACATTTGCAGACAGCTTTACACTGTGTATTTATACCAAGTGTCTCATGTGGTTAGCAGTAATACCTATTAATATGGAAAGAAGCTAGTATAAACTCTTAATTTTCAAACTACAGTTTCACTCCTAAAGTGAGAAGCCTTGATTAGAAATAATGCTTTTGGGAAAATTATATCATTTGAAACTAAACTGGCCTAGTAGTCTCAGATTTACATTAGGTGTAAGGTCCTGTTTCAAGGTTAACTCAGATCTGACATGGGGATTGAATTCAGGCATGCCAGTTTCAGAGATCAACTGTATTAACAGTGGAAATCTCATTAAATATATTTTTCTCAGGAGTTCCTCATTATCTAACCCATAATCTAGGAAAAACCATTCCTGAGAAATTCTGACTGTATCTGAACTGAAATGGGAACCTGATCCCTTTCAGACATGCCCCAAAAGCAGAACTGTAAAGGCAGTTTCCTGTCTGGAAATTAACATTTGAATCATCATAAATTCAAACAGATTCACATACAAGGCACCTGCCACTTATCGCTTTAAAATAAGTCCTAGAGTTAAAAAACAGGCTCCAGTTACTTCAGATAAATTCTCTGGGAGTTCAGAGAGGATATGAGAATCACCTTAATTTTCTCTATGATGAAGCATAAAGCGCCATCACTTCCATTAGCTCCCTACTACATAAATCTTAAAATGAATAGTGTCCACAGCTTTACTAAAATACAACAGATATCCTAAAAAATAGACCTGTGCATGAGAGCAGGAACATGCCCAGATGTACCTCGCCACCCTCCCTTCTCCTTGCCCTGGGCAGTTCCCCAGGCCTGGTGCTGAGCTACAAGGGGCACTGGGGTGAGCTCCCTGTGCTCCTGCAGGAGGCTGCAGTGCAGGGGATCCAGCACTCAGAGGGGTTTCTGTGCACACTGCACACAGACAGACATTTCGATAGGCAGTGCATAAGTATAATTTTGTTCATTGCTTACATCCTGACTGGCTGCAAGTTACCAAGTTATCACACAGATTTTAAACATCAGGGTATTTTTGCCAGGAGCATTTTTATGTATGAGCTCGTGCACCAAGCTGCTGGGCCTTTTCTTCTGAAAGGGCACGGGGCAGGGTTTGTCTCCAGAATCTGATTTCTGCATGCACTGGGACTGATTCATTTATCACTTCCACTTGCTTCTGCCAGCAGGAACTTCGGCTGCTGTGGTGGGAAATCCATCCAGCACTGAGCAGTGGAGTGTGGAGCTACTCAAGGTGTGAGCAAGCCTTGTTCTCAAGGGCAGCAGAAGCCAACTGGCACAGCAGACTCTGTAGGTGTGGCAAGCTGAAAAGCAGCAATGGGCAGTTCTCCTAGGAGATGCACTGATTCAATATTTACTGGGCAACCTCCAGTGTCGGGAATTTTAAGGAGAACATGTCCCACTCCACAGCTGCTGGCAACAATTATGGGATTGGCAGTGACTGAGTATCACTTGAGTTTACACACCTTTGGGCACAACTCAACCCACAGGACATTCAGGTCTCACCTTTTAGTATTATTATTAATTATTTATCTGCCTGCTGTCTTTCCTGGAACATCACATGTGGCTGTCACGCTGTACTGTGAGTTCAGCCGAGCAAGGGTGCGTGCAGACCATCACCCACCCTGCACGACTGTGTTTGCACACACCTTACACAGACCTGTGGTACCACAAAGTCCTGCTGAGCTGCTCACCTGAAGGGCAGCAGTTTTAAACAGCACAAAGCCCAACTGCAAGTCAGTGGAACACGAGTCATGAGGTTTGCTGTACGTGAATGGTTTTCATAAAATGTGTCCATAAAAATGAAATGTGGTTGCATCACAGCAACAGCATGGTCAAACCTCAGCTCCACACTCACCCAAGGGCATTGTCTGTGCCACTGCACCTAAATGTGCATATTCTTGCACACAGACATATAAAGATCTGGGTTTAGGCAAGCAGAGGGAATATAAGGAGTAATTATCCTATTTAAGATCTTACAGGGACCTCTTTGCTCACATGAGGAGAGTCACCTTATCAATAACAATCACAAATTATCCCAAGCTCAGTTTAATGCTTCATCCACAAGACAGCACCCTCAGGAAAATCACTTGCTAGTTAAAGATGAGAATTGATCTGTTAATCCTCCAAAATGTGTAACTCTCCTAATAAGTGATATAAAACATTCTGAATCACAATTGGCACTATAATTTCAAAAGAAAATGTCCATTTGGGAAATCTAAATTTGAGACCTCATGGTGTCATGCAGACTGAAATGTTTAAAAATGTTAATAATGATGGAAAGAAAATTATGCACCATAAGGTTTTAAATGAGAAGCAGCATTTCTTAAACTTTAACACATTTTTTTGAATGAGTAAAACAGGATTAAAGGCCAGACTCACATTACTACTGCAAGTTTTGTATCGAATATTCCGACCTTCACAGTTCCTAAAAAAAAAAAAGAGTAAAAATGGTTACACTGTATAATAGCAAAACACAACCTTGCCTGTTTTACAGCTAGTTATTCTCGAAAATTAGGCTTTTATTGCTACTGCCCTACCATAATCTGGACTCCAAATACAAGGTTTAAATACAGAGGGGATCTGGGTATTCAGCTTTACGCTGCTGTCTCTCCTCAGCAAAGAACGTGTGACTTTCCCTATAAGCCCCATTTACTGCAAACCTTATGAAAACCACATTTATTTTGTGGAAAAGACATCTCTAAGCCTGCTCAATGCTGATTGCAAACCAAGTAATTTCTAATAAACATGATGTGACCTAGAGGAAAAGATCAGAATATCGGATTCATAATTTTAAATTAAACAGAATTTTCATGGACTGCATGCAAATGTGCCCAAAGCTTGTGAATCCTGACATCCAGGCAATTCAGACCCTCAGTCTGTTGTTAGTAGCTGAAATAAAAGGCATTTAATAGAGTCATGGTTATTTATTGTGGTCTCATAAATCTGGGGAGGTTGGGTTTCACACTTTTTTTAAAGATACACTCTGCCAAAATTCTCACTACTAAACCAGCACTTTTGCACAGTGTAAGATATTCTTCTATGTTATAAATGGCAATATCAGCAATTTGAAAGAACTTAAAACATATTTCAAATGACTGGATAAGAAATTATAATTAGTGATTTCTCTAAAATCAGGAACAGTGTTTTGCAATAACTCCTTCGTACCAAAAAGGCGTGCCTTACATTAAAGAATCTGGGAACATATAACCGATAATTTTCATATCTTTGATTACATTTTCTTCTTCTTGCATGAAAATAACATTTTTTTAATAATGTCTGAGAGAGACTGAAAAATAGCATTTGAAAAGGAAAAAAAATGGATGCCTGAAGCAAGAGCTCAATTCAGCTCAAGATAGAACTGTTAAAGCTCAAGGTATTTCAAGTCTCAGATTTCCAATCTTTTGCAAGACTTACAGCATCACAACATGCAAATTAAAAAGGTTTATGATACACACAAATGTGAAAACTTTGTTTCACAGTTGTGTGTTTCCCGGACATTGCTACAAAAATCAAACACAGAAAAAAACCTTTTCAACTATGTATTTGTCAAGGTATGGAAAACACATGTTTTTCACAGGGGAACACATTAAAAATATTAATAAAACCACAGTGGAATTTATACTGCTACAATTTATTGAGCTTGTTTCACAGTCTCTAACACATTGGTAGAGTATCAAGGCTTCTTGCTGGAACTATTACTTTTCTCCAAGATCTTTGTGGCAATTTTTCACTAAAAGAAACAGGCAGTGCTTTAATCAATCCCCTTTAGCTCTGTATTTCATACAGTTTGCCCTTAAGTAGCACATCACACTCCAAGCCTTCTTTTAAAAAATGCGACTTCCTGGCTGATGCTGCATTCAACTAAATAAAAATGTAAACAAAATCATCAGTTTTTAAAATGTTTAAGAATAATTCAAGTGAACCAGGTAATTATGGATGCCAGGACAGATGCCTCACAGCTGGCTGGGATCTTTTCTTGCCTGACTACTGGCCTAGTGCATTACTCCTACTTTAAGGATTGTACCAACAAGTCCCACATTAGTCCAGTTTTACCACTGGGGTAAAAGGCTTTCACTGCCTCTGTTCTTCTCTTCACGTCACACTAAGGCTTGTACATGAAAACATGCAGCTACCACGGAACTGCATAGGAAGAACTGGCCGGGAAGAACCAGAGAATCAATTTGGTTGGAAAAGATCTTTGGGATCGCTGAGCCCAGCGTATGACCCAACGCCACCTTGTCACTTTAGGCCATGGCAATGAGTGTCCTTAAACACTTCCAGGGACAGTGACTGCACTGCCTTCCTGGAGGGCCCATTCCAGTGCCTAACTACCTTTCTGAGAAGAAATTCGTGCTAATATCTGACCTGAATCTCCCTTGGTGCAATTTGAGACTATGGCCTGTTGCCCTTCCTTCCCTAACACAGAGCAGCATTTGACAGATCCATTTGAGCAGCACATTATGGCAAATCATGTCCAAGTGCAGGCTAAGTTGTACACAGGTAACTCACCTTTTGATCTGATTACAGTGAAAGGCACTCCCCTCTCTATCTGACCATATCAAATAAATAATTCCTGCCATTCCACAATTACATCTCATAACACATTAAAGGTCAGAGTTAAAGCCTAAGTTATTTGTGTATTACAAACATGTATTAAAGGCAGCATTTTATAACACTTGATCTATCTTACACAGCACTTGGTCTCAGAAAGAGAAGCAGCCAGAAGAGGATTGGAAATGTGCCAGAGTTGCAGAAGAGCCCCCACACACCAGCATGTGGCTCACCTGCCATTTAAGCATCTCCTCAGAGAGTAGGAGGCTCCCCCTCCACAGGTCCGTGAGCAATCACTCCAGGCCCCCCAGGCATCCCAGGAATCATCCTTATCTTCATCTGAGCGGGTGGTTCTGGAGTTCTGAAGGAAAAGAAAAGAAGATGGAAAGGAGGAAAAAAAAATGTTTTGAGTATGTTTTATTCCTTGGCATTAATAGTACCAATTATGTTATTTTGCTGCTTATTTACCATATTTCAAATTTACTACTTTAATGCATAATAATTATATGGGGAAAAACAGAGCCTTTGAAGATCCAGTGTAGCTCCTGGCAAAGCACTGCTGTGCCCAAACATGCTGCAGTTCCCAACTCCTCTATGCACAATTTGCTGTGTAGGAACCAAACACTCTCAAGCACACAAAAAGGCATCATGTTCAAACACATGATGGGCCTGTTGCAATGGAACTAAGATTTTTAGAATCCGATATTACACCCAGCTTAAGATTAAAACACCAATTTCTCAAACCACCATGGTGACAGTTTACACATAAAAATACCACTAACATAAAGTAATGGCTTTTGGCATCATTATGAAAGTCAGATTGCGCATAAGAGTGAGGCAGTGAGTAATTTTTCTCAGGTGGGAGAGAATATTGACCAATATTTACTCTGCCCCAAAAGAATCACCACTGAGAGAACATGACAATTTAATTCAAGTTTTAAGAAAACAACTATTTCCAGCCAAATTTTTATTCTCATTGACTTCAATGCGCAACTTGTCAAAAAAAAAAACCAAACAAAAACAAAAACAAACAAATTGCTTATTAGAGGAAAAGCATCTCTATTTGAACACTGAATTGCAGAGTTCGGTCGAAAATCAGTGGCTTTTTAACTTTCTTGCTCTTATAAATTTACAAATTTTACAATTGCTTACCGTAAAGCTTTAAAAGCACTCTTAGGCCAATCTACCCTTCCAAAAACGATAGAGCCCAGCTCTGCCAAGATCCCTGAGGAATTTTCACACTGATGTTGGGTTTTCTTTATATCAGAAGCCAAGTCTGAAATGTCTGGGACTGAAAATGGAACCAAGTGCCTTCAATCTTGACAAAAAAAGCTCAGCACTTCCCAACAAGTCACTCGGCACACGAAAATAAATCAAGATGAACAAGAGGGTCACTTCTTTCAAATTTATAGGTGCAAAATTAGTTTGTTCTCTGCAAGCCCAAAGCAAATGATCGGGTTTTAGCATGTTGAGGAATGGCTAAACTTGTGATATCAAAAAAGCAACACATGGCACTCTTTTTTAGAATAGCTAGCTTCTTTTGATAAAGCAGTGACAATGCCTAAAATAATCCTAACTTCATCATTGTATTACAACCAGCCACATGATATTAACAGACAGAATGTCATCCAAAGCTCTAAACAAAGTCCAGTTGTTCACTTCCCAAACTGCTTTGATAAAAGCCATTGTTCTGAACTGTATCTAATTAAAAAGCTGTAAATACTATGGCGATCAAAGCAGAACTTTATGCCAACAAAGCCTTCTTTAGAATCATTGACTAATTCAGTGCCCACAGTGTTGATTTAAGCTCCAGCTAGTTCAAGCTATTTGTCCCATGGGAAAGAGTTAAAAGCAGCTTGCACTGACTTAGTAATTTACTACCAAAATAATATTGATTTACTAGCTGTCTGGTTTCATAAACTCTACACATTACATTTGTCTTCACCATGGTACTAAATTGAAGTAAAATAAAGAAAAGATCACCAACATCATGATTTACACCAACAAAGCCTTGGAAACTCATTTAAGAATTAAACTGAGAGCTAATTGCAATTGGACACAGAAGGACATTATTGTACGTCAGGACTGCATTCCCAGCTTGTTTGACTTCAGTTTTTCATGTCTTATTGTCTTCAGTCATAATTCTAACATGGTTCAGCAGTGAAAAATTGAACCATATTAGAATAGTTTTGCCTTGAGTTCCTTAATTTTGCAACAGACAAAGCACAACACGTATATTTTCCATATTCATTGTGGAAGTATTTATGTACCAGCACAAATGTAAAAGTGTGCATAGACGTGCACATGTGCACCCATGATGTTACATGATCAAGCCACAAGTGCTGTAGTGAATCCAGATAAAATAACTTAGACCAGCTATAAACACAACCTAGATTGTTTGCTGCTCTTTACCTAGGGCTGGATGGGAAAACACATCACTGGAAGAGTTGTAGCACATGTGAACACAGGGTTAGATGCAAACATTGCAGTGAGAGTGGCAGCTAAGAACCTATACAGAGTTTCTGCAGAAATCCAGTGTATGTGATAAAGGTAGACTCAAAACATTTGATCCCAATCTAACTCATTTTGAAAGCAAAAAAGTCACACCACTAAACATGGACCTGGACAATGATTACTTGAATCAGGGGGTAAGGGAAAATAAACTCTTGAGTTTTGAAGCACTCGGTGACAAAGAGCTGAGATGACAATTTGCCAAGGCTCCCTCGAGGTCTGAGGGCCAGTGATGTGCAATCTGAGCTCTGTGCTAACAACCCTCAAGTGACAGAGACCGTGCTGTCCACAGGGGATTTTACTGCAGTGTGGCACTGGTAGATTTGAACAGAGGGGAAAGTGTGAGTGCCAGTTTCCCTTCTTCTGTCCAGGGCTCTGTTTTTGTTTCTGTCACATATTGGCACACACTGTACCTCCCTGTTCTGCAAATTATTGGTGTGCATGAGTTCTCAGGCCATACTCCCCTTGCAACCTACGACCCAAAGTAACCCAGAACAAGGGCACTGAGGTAAAGTAAATGAAATCCAGATGTTAACAGGGCTGATCACTGCTCCAAAACAAGGGGATTTTTACTGTCACTTGTAGCACTCAGTAAATAACAACAGCTACATTGACACACGTTACAGAAATCAAACACAGCGCTTTCAGATGAAGAAAAAAAGATTATTTGGCCAAACTTTTGTTTGGCTGTTATGAAGGATGACATAATTGTCTTGAATTTGGTCATGCAGACTTCAAAGGAGAAGTGGTGCCAGAGAACCAAGGTCAGTTTATGCAGTTTTATTATTATTTAGACAACTATTACATAAGGCTTGGATATGTAAATGTTTAGCATTCAGTGTAACAAAGATTCAGCTTCCCAAAAGAAATGCCCTGATACCTTAGATGTTTGTTTTTGCAGAGTTTTTAGCATACAATTTTCCTCTGTCAGGTTCTAGAAGAGATTCAGAGCAACCTTTGGTCAGCAGATGTAGCAGTGGTACACCGATCACCCCTGAGGCTGGATGGATACACAGAAATTCAAACAGGGCAGAGTGATGTGGCCCAGAAAATAAGTCTTTGTCTTTTCAAGTAAGGCCTTGGACATGGAGGAATATTTACCAACACACCTGCGATTATGCCAATGTCACTGCAACTCTCTGGGTGGCTGTGCTTTTGTTTTTCTCACAGCTGCTTACTAAACTAGTTTGTATTAATTCACTAAGGCTTGCCGAATTCTAAAGAAAATCACCAAAAGGAGTTACACTGCCAGAGTTCTAGCATATTGCTATTTAATAACGCATTTCTTATAATTAAAACCAGAATTTAGGTTCTTCAGATCAAACTCATCCAAGGGAAGGAACCTGTTGAAGAGTATAAACACAACTTCTGTACCACTGAGAGCCTAAATTAAGCAATACCCAAAGCTCAGTGCTGGCCCTTCTCCCAGGAGTGAATTTCATCCTTGATGGTGTTTTGAAAAGAAATGAAGGCATTTCCTTTTCATTGCTTCTTCCCACTCTCCCAACCCATAAATACCATTAACACTGTCCTGACTTTCTGAGTGCTCCACAGCACGAGGTTATTTTGCTCTTCACTAATCTTCACGTGCAGCACTGCTCTGTGCCATTTGCTTCTCCTCATACCTGCAGCAGCTCCAAAGAGAGGTAGCCCAAGGAGTTATGGCACTGAAGGGAGCACACCCTGCCTGAGCAGCCCTGTGATGCATTTCCCAGATCCCTGTTTCCAGACACCACACTTGGTGGGAGAGGTATCAAATTGCAGTGATGACTGTACCTGTGAGCAGGAAAGAACAAGCATTTACCTGCAATAATCACTGCATGTGCTATTCACCCTCAGAACTGGAGCCTTCACTTTAACTCTGGCTGTTATGTCTAGAGCTTTGAAACAAGCTACACTAGAAATCTCTTTCTCTGCTAAGGTCACATACTAAAATAATTTACACCTCTGTTTTGTATTCTAAGTGAGGTGCAGAATGCAGATTACAGATCTGGGAAAAACCATTTCACTTGTGGCAGCGACTAAATAGAACAGTCAAAACATATTTCCAGACAAATAAGAATTATTAATAGAAGATCTTTCATTGCCTGGTTTTAGCTTAAAAACTCCTCTTGTTTCCTAAAAACAGTTTCAAGGCATTTCCTGGTATAATTCTACTGTTGCCGAGTGCATTATATATTACCTAATTGTGCACTGTATATGTCATTGAGTTTAATAAATATTTTACTTCTATGTACCAAAGTAAATTATGTATTACTCTGTATGTTAACAAGAACCTATCTGGAATTTTTAAATCCTGGAGAAAAAACAATGCATCATTATTTTAAATTTATAAAAAACACCTGGGAGTCAATGCAGCTATTTTAAGCAGATGTTAAGAATTATTTAGTTTTTAAATTGTTAACATTTAAATTGTTGCATTACCTATTCCTTGCACTTGGCCTCAGCCCTGCAAACTCACTGCAAAATGGAACCTGTGCCCCATAATAACAAGAGCATTTCAGAAACACAAGCTGGTAAAGCTCAGCAACAAGGTGAATCACCAGCAAGCAATCAGCCAAAAGGCAAGTGATGGACTTATTGAGCTACATGAAAAAACACATCTGGGGGCTCAGATGGACTTTAGATCTCTCAGTGTTGAATTCTGCAACTTATTTTCATTCTACAGGAGTTTTGAATAAATTAAAATTTTGGAGAATAAAGCATGCACAAGTGTCACACACAGGAAATATTTACAGCATAATTCATTTTCATACTAAACTGAAGGCGAATCTCAGCGTGGTTTTCAGAGCTATACTGCATCCAGATTTTTTCCGTTGTCAGAGTGTTGCAAAACTTCACATTGACAGC